GATGATGGTGACTATTAATGAATATTTTAATTTAGTAATAGTACTTTTTATTCAGTTCATAGTTATTTTTTGAATACCTTTTTATTGTTTCAAATAATGGAGGTATTGCTTGTGAAAGACGTTGTGTACTTCAATGAAAAAAACTCATTTTGAGATAATTACAGCGATATTCGGGGTCTGCTTCAATATGTAGGAAAAATTCCAGATTACACACAATTTTTGAAAAAATTGTACTCACTTTATTGACAATGCTTCTAAAGCTTCATACACACCAAAAGTGGACAACAGACATGCGTGAGCATCTTCATTTGATATGAAATTCTCCAGAATGTCCAAACACAAACTTACTACTTCCAAATTTTCGCTATCTAGTAAAGTAGCTGCATAAAGAATAATTTTCTTTTCCTGCAATAACGTGAAATTAGAATATACTTAGGTAATGTATATCTAAAACTGACTTTCAATAACGTTGTATGCCTTTTTTGATCTGCACTCAGATCTCTAAATGCTTTCAAGTTCGCAATCTCAAACATTTTTTGAAATATGTCAGGTTTTTAGGGTAAAGTTTTGATGTTTTGGTTGCTAGGTTATACTTAAGACGAATAAACGTAAACAACAATATAATATGAAAGTTTTTCACCTAAAGAAACTAATCAAATATAGACCATATTCCATATTACCAGAGTAGATACTGGTGGTGAAAAAGTTTGAAATGTAAACTTGCTATAAATGGATTGATTTTGCTGAAACAAAACCTTTTCCAAAAACTTTTCCACTTTTGAAAGCAATTTATGCAATTCGAAATACAATTGGTTTGTAGGAATGATACCCCAGTTTTTCCTAGTTAGGTAACACAAAAATTATGTTCCCAAAAATATTCTGGTACAATTTATAAAAATACACCTTATTTTCACAATAACTGACCTGGACACGAAAAGTTCAAAATATTTTCCTTATTCAATTCCTCTAACGTTTTAGATTTTTTTCTCATATTCAATTCCAATTCGAACTACTTCGTGTTCAAACACGCTTGTTTATCCTCAGCGGGTAATCCTGCAGGAGTTCAGGAACGGTTTGTCCGAAGAGGGATCCAACGGGAACTGCGTGCAGTTGCATTATATGGTCCCTCATCCAGAGCCAGGTCAGTAGTCAGTTGTTTATTGCACTTGCACGAGAATAAAAACATTGATTTGATTGTACTTTGGATTTTATCAAATATAATTGAAATGAAAGATACTGTAATCACATAATCTGCTACCAATTTTGAGAAAAATTACTGGAGAGACCAATATCATCCAAAAAAGCAAGAGAAGCTTATATTTTAACAAACACTGTTTGAATTTGTGCTCATGTGTGTATATATGTGTGTACATGTATAACAAGATGTATTTCTTATGACATTAAACATATATCTCTCTTCAAATATCGAGGTTTGCTTTTTGTAACATCCACAGTCGTTGATTGAAACGCGTTACTTAGGAACTGAATTATGGGCTGCTGGAACTCAGCGGAGATGGATGGTGGGTAAATATAAGTCCACTTGGAGGATAAGTGTATTGTTTCTTTAAACACGCCAAGCTGATGGTGATTACAGTCTTATGGCACAGAAGTATAGTTTTGGGTTCACAGATATAGATGTAAGCAGCTTATGATTAAACTTAAGGGGTGGTAAATGCTTGGTTTATTCTACAATTCGCAATTTGTGCCACAATGTTGACTCGAGGTCGTGCGGGAGGGTGTAATACATAACAGGAAAGACCTTACTTGCGTGGGATATGGGAAAGTAGTCTCCAGCAGTACGATCCAACCCCTGTACGCAGTCCATTCAGGCAATGATCTTTTCCATGCAGATAACGTGCTCCTCGGAAGACCGTAATCAGAGATATAAGGGGTGTAGTGGTCTATCCTGGCGAGAGATACACCAGGATATAGTTCACAATATCGACTTGAGGTGGTAATAAGAAGGCCTAAAATAAGGTTAAGGTTTAGAAAGATATATCCTCTAGTGAATTTTCGGGAAGTGAGTTCTTACCGTAGTTATTGTGTGGCCTGAAGATCAAAGTTTGACAAGAGAATGGATACTTAATAAATATATAAAAATCCCCAATGCTGTGGGCGAGTTATTCCTTCATATAACCCAAATATAATTATTCCCGTATTGAATATTCTGGTTTCTTCAAATCCACAATGTGATGAGCTCAAAAAACTTGCTCCAGAGAATATAACCAAACTCAACTCACATTCCAAGAGAAAATAACCCTTCTTTTCCTTTTTTCTCTCCCTATCAACGTTACTTCAATTTAACAAAAGTTTTACAAAGTTGGAATGAAAAAAAAACAGTTCAAAATCTGACTTAATATAGTCTGATATTAAAAATTCCGAAACTGAAGTCAGAATTTAACCAATTTTTATTGGATGAAGATATTCTTCCCCAAATTATCAAGGTCAGTTATTAAGAGTTCAGCTTGAATTCCTACCAGTTTATTAAGGGAAAATTTTTCTTAAGTACTTCTAATCCAGCATCTATCTGTTATTTTTGTATGAGTGGAGATAACTATTTGGGTTTACCATCAATAATTATATATTGTCCTGCATGATCTGAAAAAAAACTTCAATACTCCTGTTTTGAAAATGTTTGAGATCAAATTGGTGAAAATATAATCTAGACACCTAGATATATGATGGAATTGGGCGATACTTGATGAAAATCCATAACGTATTCAAAAAATACATTACTGTGAGATTTTTACTCTAAACAGTTTTACTAAAAAGCAACTCGTGTTTCGCCATAAAATGGCTTCTTCAGGCATCTGAAAACACGTCCGAAGAAGCCATTGTATGGCGAAACACGTGTTGCGTTTTTGTAAAACTGTTTAGTGAAAACCTCACATGAATAGACACTTAGACTCATAGACAGATATTCTAGATTCCATTTAAAAAATATAATTGCTAGGACTTTTTGGTAGAAGGGGCAACGCCGCAATGCTGAAAATATTTTAGATCGATAGAACAGGTAAGGAAATGTGAGAGGTGAAATTTTCAGAAAAATCATGCTTTGCGTTTTCCAGAAACGTCTAACCTACCATCGACCGTGAGTCACGCTGTATATGAAATCAGGCCAGTGAATATTGTAATAAGACAAGAGAAAACAGAAAAGACTGAAATACGATTTTTGTTCATAGACTATCCGACCTTTCTCTTGAATCACTCCTTCTCTTGGAGAAAACTGATGAAAATAATTCGTTAGGTGGTTTGTGATTACTGTGTTTAGACAAACAGACAAAACGGCGGGGACTTTGTTTTTTGATGTTTTCCATAGATGATTTCGGATAGCAATTACTGTTAAATTCTCATCAGCATCTAGCGAAGATTGAATGAACTGAGCCAAACCATACGGTGCAGCTCCGTTCATGATAGTTTCCTTCAGTTACGTACTTTGCTACAGTGTACTTACTTTCATCCGTTAGAATACAGATGCCGCAACTAGTATGATTGTTTAAAATTAGCTTTTGGTATTGTCTATAGATTTATTAGACAATGCTTTTGGTATACAAGGGTAGTGTTACTATTCTGGGGTATATAGTAGCTTTGTATGGAGACAATGGTATGGATAATTTATATACAAAGACAAAGGTAGTAGCACTGGTTAAGCTCGAAGATTTTTATCGTAATTATTTTTCTTCCTTTTTTTGGAACTTTTCCACAATTTTGTTTAACGACAAAGAAGTAAAAAGCAAAAAAAGTTTTTCCCAAAAAACTAATCTCTCCTGAAAATATTCTCTTTTTAACTACTGCCATTTTTTGCCTTGGACTTAACAGACAATATTTTTCACTTGAATTTGATAGACGATTGACTGAATGAAAAAAACCAAACCAGGTACCGTTTTATCTTCAGTTTAGTTATCTAAATTTACAGCAAATACTTTTTGAAAGCTGTCGTCTCGACCGAATATTTTTTAGCTTAAAATGATGATTTTGAAAAGTAAAAATAAATATCAATTTGTTAAGTGATGCTTGATGATATT